TTCTGTGCATTCTAATGAAGACTGAGAGAAATCAGGCTAAATGAGGCCACAGAAGACTGATTATTCGTTGACTAATGAACAGCCCACTTCGCTAAACATTGGTATGCAACAGCATATATAACCTCCCTGGGACACGTATCCATGACAGGTCTTGATCAATTTTGATCCAGATAAAAACATATTATTTTTAGATATTTGACAAGCACCTGAAAACCCCGTTTCCCAGGTATGTTTCACTTTTATATTAGCAATAAGCACAAGTGGTGAATCTTCCAAAGGAAGATGTGACAGGCTAATCCACAGAGAGGAGCGGTCCTGGCTCAATGATCCCCCATGAGCCTGAGGGTTTGAGGTACTTGGAAATGATGGCAGGTAAAAACGTGTTTACATCATTATATGTGTGTATTGCAGTGTTTTCCCTTTCTGAGTTTTCATTATAGAATGAATTTATTGATTAAAAATAAACAGCAAAACAGTTTCATTAAATGCATCTGTGTGGCAAGAAACTTCCTCTGAATATGTATCGCTTTTCTGTGCTTGGATAATTTTCTTTTTTTCCCCCAAGTAATGAAACAGTGCAAAAAGATCTGTCCCCTGGAGAAATCAGGTCTCACGTGATTACAAAAAATGAGATGTGAGAAAAACAAATAGTTCATAATGCCCTGCAGGACATGAACCCAGCACATTTCCCTGTTTTGGGAGCTTCAGAATGTGTGCTAATACTCTGCATTTCATATTTGTTTATTCTGCCTTCTTGTGCCCCAGGAAATGGTAATTGTTGTTTGTATATGCGTGTTTGGGTATTTTGATCCATGATGATATTTTCTCTCCTCCATCCAAGGACAATTACCAAACAGTACAGGAGATAACAGTGTTTGCTAGCAGCAAAGGCATACTTTTGATTAAAAAGAAATAATGGGGAGATATTTTAAACACCTAAAGCCTTGCACAGACACAGTTGTTAGTGATCCGGAGCTCAGGCTTCCCGCTGCATGATTTTTCACTGCACTTTTGGAAACCTTCTGAAACACAAGATACACAGGGCCGTAACCAGGTTTAGAAATTAGTGAGGTCCAGATTTTTTGTTTCTTTTAATAGAGCTTATTTAAAGTAATTCGTAATAAAATCACCCCTAAACACAATAAAAGTTATGCAACACAGTCACAGAAATTAATGATATATAATGGAATACATAAGCCAACAAAAAATACTTTTATTAAAGCTGAATTTCACTCTCTCCTTACAGATACAGACACACAAGTAGTGTAAACAGAGAAATATTTGTATGCTAATCTTCACAAAATGCATTAGGCTCTGAAATGTAGTCATAACACAGGACTATACTGTTAGAAAAACACTGTTACTATATGACAACCTAAAATAGAGCAGGTTAGTGCTAAATGAAGTGCTGGTTAATGTTACAGCCTAATAATTTGACATCAGCAGCTGTTTGCGCTGTTTTGCACGATTATAGTAGCTGAATTTGTTTGATGCACAAATCGGCTTGGTCAATACCTGAATAATCATAAAGCTTAAATTATCCATCCACCCACCCTCACCAACCCCACCTCTACCAGTCCTGGTAGTTTTCCAGGTGTTTTTTTTTTTACTTTTATTGATGTATGAATTGTTTACTTTTGTGATTTGAGAGGCTGCTGTCAGTATGCTGTCAATTCTGACGTACTATATGCAACACTAGCTCCTCTATTGTCTTTGCTGTACTCTGACTGGGACTAAACCTGCACAAATAAGACAAAAATAAACTCTAATTCTCAAAGCAAGGTGAAATGCACACCTAACTGCTCTGCCAAGCAAAGCAAATAGTGTCTTGGTGCTTCGGTGCTACACCCAGACTTTTCAGTAATCATGGCAGCCGTGAAGCCAAGAAAAGAAATGACGCATCCCAGTAACTCATACTCGCATTGATGGCACAGACAGTAGAATACCTGATATTCATCACAAGAAAATTTAACTGGAAAACAACAACAAAAAAAAACACTGCTGTGAGAAACAGAGAGGACGCGTAACAGTCCAGCACAGAGCAGAGTAGAGAGAACAGCTCTCAAGACGCATGAGGGAGAGCACACATTTAAAGCATCCCAAATAACACCCACTCTGACAAAATGAGTGAGTCATAGGACAACAAGAGACATCCTGCAGATAGAAATGAATGAAAGAGCAGGGGGAGTTAACAGATAACTTTCATTCTTGCAGCTGCATTTCTAACTTTTTTTTTTTTACTCAAAAGTTGCTTTACCATGTCGTGTGAAATGCTATATCAGCACACCTTTGAACAAATATTTTAGAAATATTCTTATTTCTAAATGTCAGATTGCACTTTATGGGCGTGTTTGCACGGTAATATTATTAGTGCAATATCTTTCGTGAATCGGACCTTGAGACGAGGCAGATAACCATTGCACGGGGCTATCAGCGATCCATTTTTTTGTGATTTTGACCCTGAATGCGCTAAAACTTTTTATAAGCAACATACCAAAAAGAAAACAACATTCTTCTTGTTTGTTTGTCTTGTTATCTTGACTGTAGCAGGCAGGGATGACTGGTGATCCTGAAGCTACTGTGATGTTAGATGTCTTTGACATTGTGGCTGTTTCATTAGTGGATATCATTCTGGTTGTTGTTTGGGGCACATACAAAGCCTTCGTCTGTCTTTTAGTCAATGCAGCCTCCATAACAAAACACACATTAACATTGTAACTCACAGATACAGTACACTCTTTTGCAAACACAAGACCGCATTCTAACTGCATGAAGCATGTAACTGCAGTGTTTTAAAGTGTCTGTTAATCACTGTATCTGTATTCTCAAACTGTAACATATGGCCACCAGCTATATCCCTTCTGATGCCTCCATGCTCCTCTGCACAGCTCCAAACTGTCAGAAGTGATAGTGTGTGTGTGTCTATATTCCACCTCTGCTAGCCCTGGTGGAGGGAAACCTTCCCTCATCGTAGTATTTACAGTAGGAGAAGCCTGCAGGCCTAATTGGCATGGTCAGTGATGGAGCATATGCACTTTCCAGTGGGAGCCCATCTGACAGGGCCACTGGCTGATGACTGCCTACGTAGTCTCCATGCGTGGCAGACAGAAGGGCCCGTCCGCACACTGCCCTTTAACTAATGAAGCCAAGTCACCCGGCTTATACCTCAGCCTTTTAGAGGACTTTATCCAGAATCTGGAGCCAGAGACTTACCTCTCACAGCATGCACACAGACAAATATTCACACACAACATACCCGATCCTCTCTCACCTTCACCTGGACAGATACACTAACCCACACACACACAGCAGCATGACTCTGCTAAAAACAATACAACAAAGATAATTGTACCACTAACCTCACCTTCACCTCCCTCTCTCTCCCCCTCTCACAGAAACACACACACAGGGGAGAGAAAAATAAGGAGGGGCAGTGGGTAAAAAAGAAAGTGAGAGAATACAGAGAAAGAGAGAAGCTGCGTGGTAAGAGTGTGAATTCAGCCTCCAGCTGGGCGGCTAAATGGACTTGGTCAGTCATTAGCATGCAAAGGTCTAGCCCGGACATTTAAGGTTATTCATTCCCCAGGCTAATCCTCCCCATGCTGAAACCGTCCAGCTACTTCCTGAATCTCTCATAATCAATACCTTTTTACTACTTGTTGTTTGTCCCGGTGGCCATTTTCCACAACACATCCTGAACAACACTCCAAAAGCCCTGCCAGCCGCTGGTTAACCAAGTGCACTGCACGTTTTGAGTGTTTTGGGGGCTGCAGATGTTGGCGCATACTTAATAAGCTTGATCACAGGAGCCCCAACCTCGCAATGTAATTTCGCTACCCAAGGTGCATCTGTTCTGCTTGTACTCACAGGAACCCCATGCTGTTGGAACTGTTTCACAAAGTCACACAAGTCATACAGTGGCTTGGCTGCTGCCTCAATAACAGGAAGTGAAGGTATCAAAAGGCAGCCAGGCCAAGGGGAAACGGTGGGATATTGACCGTGAGCGTGACACACAACTTTAAGGCAACAAATATAAATTGTATGTGCTCAGGTTGTTTATTTTAGTCCAAGCACTGGGAAATATCTTCATGCATCGCCTGCCTTGTACATACAGTCGTTTCCCCGATAGCAAAGTTGGAGATAAGGATGAACCAGTGCATCACAAGCAATGCATTATGTGAATACACATCTCTCCGTTGCCAGCATCTCCTCTTCGCCCACGCCATATCACCTGACCATTGTGCCGCGGGTTACCCACAATACATCGAGGTCATCTGATAACTGTGAAAGTCACCACAAAATATCCCTTGGGATTTTCACACAGTGTTATCAAAATGAAACATAACTCATGAGCAAGAGAAGTAAGAACACTACACAAGTGTTAAAAACGACTATATTAAACTGAAACTGCAGCATTCCCTGTGAAGATTTTATTTTTATGCCTCTTCTGCTTCTTCTGAGTTTTATCCATTTCAAATACACCTCCAGTCACAAAGTAAATAGATTGTGAATTTCCGTGCTGCTTTACTTCTTTTATGCTCGGAGCGAAATGTGATGTTACTGCCTCTGTTTTTCCCTCAAGACGTTGGCTGACCCACTTTCCCTCATCCCATACACCTTGAGGGTGGAATAAGGAATATTTACAGGGGAGTGTTCAGGATCAATCTGATATGATTAAGTAATGAGTTTGAAACAATTAGAGGCATCACACGAAGCAATGCAATGTACGGTAGTATGCATGGCAAAATATAGTTGGAGCTTTGAGAAGCTCACAGTGTGGTGTGAGTGTAGATCCCTGGCATTGAAATGAATTGAATGACATGTGCACGTCCCTACAATGCCTCCACCATAATGGACACAAGGGTCTTTATCAAATGGTCGCTGTCTGAATGCTGTTTGTTTCCCTTCTGTCAATTTTGCATCGATACTATTGATCCTGCTCAACAGACATTCCATTGATAAGCCTGTGTACTGAATACAATGTTTGTCTTGTTCTGCAGGTGATTTTGATGCTGACCAAACTATTTGACTTCAACCTCAACAGTGTGACTGAGAGTTCATTATGGAGGTAAGTGTATTACACCGTATGAGCTCATGACATTTCTAGAAAATCCTTCAGCATGAGTTTGAAACAATGAGTTGGTCAGAGGGGATCGTTGGACCTGGCTCCATATATTTATGATGTTTTTAATCCTGTGGTTTGAACTGCTCCCAGCACTATTCGTAGGTCTAAAGAATACCAATGCTCACAAGGATCTCATGATGTAGATTGATGCAGCCTGCTCTCACTTTAGACTTTGAAACTGCTTGTAGTGCATATGCCACATTTTGGCAGGTTTGCGTGTTGTTGGTATGCCAATACCAGGCTGTACTTTTATAGCGCAGAGATGGCCTAGTATAAAGAGCAAAAAATTTTACGCAAGAAAGTGGTTGGGTCGAATGGATGGTTTAAACATATACTATCACACAAGAGATCTGTGATAGCAGATGTTTGAGTCCAGAAGTGAAACCAGAAGTTAATGTTAATGTTAATGACTTATTTTAACTTACGCAACTTATGTTCATATTTAACAAACTGTTTTCCAAGTAGTTTTGTTTAAAAAACCTAACCATGAGACAGGGTTAATTAATGAAACATTCAAAGCTTGAAAAAGAGACAACAGTCTAAAGCATTCTCAAATGATGAGCCTGAATATCTGACTGTCCTCAATAAATTCTAATATGTGTGACACCAAAAATGACATAGAGCTGGCAGTGTTATCCAGGAAATTACCTTGACCAGCCTTGAACTCAGTGTAGCCTAGTTTCTGACTGGACTCGGAGGATCTCAGAGACCCCATAGGAAGGAACAAGGATCAATTTAACCAGTGGCTCCATGTTGATTGGACTGTATTCAAGGCTGTTTTGCAAGTTTTATTCAAACCTGCATAGTTGGCTTTAAATTCTAGCAGAGATCCCAAAGTTTGAAAATTGACCAAATATGTCAGGCAGAAGTATGAGGAAGAAGCATATAAAAAATGCACAAGACATCTAGATGATTTCCAATTGATGCAATGGTGCAGCCGTAAAAATATGGCATCTTGGGTTTGAATGTTTCACTTGGTATATGTATCATGTAGCTTCAATGATGTGTTGAAACAAGCTGATACTCATGCTGCATATTTGATACTGGGTGTCAGTGAGTGTCAGTGTGGAATTTTTTTCTGTATATAAATTTAAAGAAGGGCAAGAAGAAGTGTAAATGTAAAATTAAGAGTCATAAAAAGTAAATACCAGTTTATGTGTATTGTGTATTGTACTGCCTAAGTGTGACAAAAGTATGATTACCTAAATCTGTGCATGGTCAACTGACAATAGAGCCAAGGCAACATTTGGCATTCAGTTTACTGTGTCATACTATATAGCGAGCCTCAGTTCCACCAACCTTTTTTATAGCAGCTGTTGTCTAGATGGATTACGTAGTGTCAAACATGTATAGGCCTACTGAGGTGTATACTTGTCAGCTTAATTTTGTACATTTAGGTTTAAGCCTGTGCAAGTGTGAACATTTAATTCCCTGCTTCCTGGGTACATTTTTCAACTTTAAGGCAGAAAAATTAAGAATATCTTGTATGGATGTATGGGCACCCTGACAAACCTTTGACACATTTATACATATTGTACCTGGTTCGTAACGTAAAGAAAGGGGGTCAGCAAAATAGAGATGGCATGACTTTTGGGTTGTTGTGATTTGGCGCTATATAAATAAAATTGAATTGAATTGAATTGAATAACTTTTGATTAGTCTGTTTTTTTAGCTGAATAAACATGAGTGGTGAAAATCAAATAAGTAAAATTAGCTTTACGTTAAATGATATCAATAACTAGCTAATGCTACGCCATGCTAAGATTAATCTGTTACTATTGTTTGCTGAATTCCATACATCCTTTACAGGGTTTAAATTATTTATGCATTAGATGTTATTAAACCTGCATTAATAGATTTTTGGCCACTTAGGGCCAGAGCAACAAGCTGTAATCACAAAATGGACTTACCAACAAAACTAAAGTTGAACTTGTTAGCAAACAGTGACTCATTTATTTCTATGAAGATTCTCAGTCATCCAGGTCATAGTTATCCAACGAAGGTTAAAATCAAGGGCAACTGGACTTGGTTGAAGATACTGGAAGAATCTTCCAGTATCTTCCAGTATCTTCAACCAAGTCCAGTTGCCCTTGATTTTAACCTTCGTTGGAGTGACTCATTTACAAATCAAGAATGCAATATTAGCATTCATTTGGAGCGTATGTCCACGTGACCTAATGTTCACTCTTTTAGCTTTGTTCTGGTCTTTACCAACTCATTAGGAAAGTCTCTGGTTGTTTAATGTTAGCTGCTAAATATGACTCTATGATGTGACACCAGCTTCTAACTTTGTCATTTGCTGCTGAGCAGGAAGAGTACAGTTGCTTGGTGCATCTGGAAATTACATCGATAAGAGCAGTGAGAGTCAATCAAACACTAAATTTGTGGACCATAAAAACAACAGCTCCTATACAGCTGAATGGAAATGTAGAAATGTATTTGCCATGGATTTGTATGCATGAGCAACCCTTATCACGTTTGACCCATTGTTAATAGAAAAAGAATCATTATAGCAGCTTTAAAAAACATGATGGGGTCATTTTACCATAATTTCTGTGACGCATTAACAGTCACGCCATCCTGCCATCTTGCAACATTTGCACGGCTGGCTCTGTAGCTCTGCCTCACTGTAACATGAACGAGAGAATCACCGTAACAGCACATAACTCCCTATAAAACCATACATTGTCATTTACATTTCCGCTTGACACCCAGGTATATTATGTTAATTTGGCAACCCATTTTAGCATTTTGCAGAGAAACACAGAGCTGTTATCTATTATGTAACAAGACGGGGACATGGTGGATATTTTACGTGCGCGGACCAATTAAAGCGCAGATGTCATTAGCTACCTGGGTGGTTTTGTTCTGATTGGCTACGTCGTCAACACGCCTCCTCCACATTCTGCTGTGAATGGAATCGCGAGTGGAAAAATCCAGAAGATGAGTCCTTGCGACTTTATATAACATAGCCTACTACGAATGGAGAAAGCTTCTACAAATTGTAAAAACATACCCTGCTAACACCAATGAGCTTTACACCATTCTTTAGCTCTGAGTGGGATGAATTGTTTAATGCCCTGTACATGGTTACACACAATCTGTGGGTTCCAAATGTGTATGTGTGGGGTTGCGTGTAAGGCGTGTAGGTGTGTGTTCGTGGGTTAATAAGGGGTGAGACAAAAGCACACAAAGCAGGATATATCAGATCGTAGTTGTCGCGGCAAGACAAAGCATCACACGGGACAGTTGGCAGTGGCAAAGTTGTGTTTGGCAGCTGTGATACAGGACTTTGGTCTTGATAAAGTGCAGTTATTTGCTGTACATGCAGAGGCTGGTCCAACACAAACAAAGATACATTCAATCCTAATTGCCGCAGAAAAAACAACAAAACAAATTAATTACCACATTATATCACAGAAAACGGCAGTGAACTTGCATTCAGCAGACGTGTTATTGGACCACGGTCTTCTTAAAGCGCAGTCATTGACTTCCCACAGTGTCAGAAACAACACCAGTAAAGGTCCAGCAGCGTGGTAAACAATGAAACTCTGGTTACAATAGTTATAAACCTACCTCTACCCAGACACAAGCATCTTACTTGAAATCACTCGGTAGCAATGCGAGTCCGTCCGTGAGTCCTTTTTGACTTGGATCCTGATGATACTCGTGGCACTGCGCTGTTGTCAGGTTCAACGTCATAGATGCAAGTGAAGCTATTGCTTCATGTGTTTCTGATGATGGAACCACACTACCCTCATAATGCTGCATATAGTACTTAAGTTTCACTCATGTTATGCCCTGACAAAAAAGAACTTCTAGTAATGGAAAGATCAATACAGTTGCATGTGAATAAGCACAGAGATTGACAGAAAGACAGATGAGTGAACAGATGATATACATTTTGAGAGAGTGAAGAGGATAATGACAGTGCAGCATTAGTGGGCAATTTACAACCATGAAGATGGACAGAGCATTGAACCACAGATAACAACAGATAACTGCATTTAAGCCAGTTTCTCTGTCAACAATTCAGCACTCCTTGGGGAGAATTTGATGCTAAACTAGGCATCTCTGCCAGTTGTGGCCCCAAATAGCAGCATGAGGTAACAGCTTGAAACTTTTATACCTACAAATCACGTGGCGTGATGTGAGCGTGCACACATCCGTCAACCTGTCTGTCATTGTTTTATGCCAGTGATCATCAACTGGTGGCCTGCGGGCCGCATCCGACAGGCTGCACACCTCCACCATCTCAGCCAGGTAACATTAAAGGAGACCTATTATACTTTTCCACATTTTATGACTTATCTACAGTGTTACAATGTTGGATGTTCATGTTAAACATGGCCAAAGCTTCAAATAATAAGGTTGGTATTAAGTATTTAAAAGGTTATGACTGCTCACATAATTATGGAAAAAGACCAATTACTGCCTGATAATAGTTTCTTTATGTTACATGCACAATAATGTTGCAAATACATAACAGCAGACATTATAAAAAAACGGTTGTTTAATATTTCCTGCCAATCAGAGCTGGATCCCGCAGTTACAGTTACATTTACAGATTTGAACCAGCCTCCTTGGCAAACGAGTTTGTTTTTAAGTCCGTTCTTTCGTTGTCTGCTTAGAGAAATTCTGGCCTTTGAACAAAAGTAGCTGAGGACCCCTGTTTTATGGCAAAGGACATATACAGAAAAATATCTCACACTGATAAGCTTTGATGCAACTAAATATTTTTTCGAAGTTTTCACTCCCTTTATTTACAGGCTCTACAACAGCCTACAGTAATAACCTGAAGGCATTTTGCTTCATTTCCATTACTGACCCCTAGCTTTCCAAGCTAATGTAGTGTATTTGGAAATAACCAGACCCAAACCTGGCCCATAGCTTTATGTAAAACAAACCCCTCCCAAAGCTGACAGGACCCAACAAAGTAGGTT